TTTTTTTGAGACAGGGTCTCACTGTGTAGTTGAGACTGACCTGGAACTCACTGTGTAGTCCAGCCTGGTCTCCAACTCACAGCAATCCTCCTCCCTCAGCCTCTCCAGTGCTGGGATTACAGGCATGCGCCATCACGGCCATCAAATTTTAAAAGCTCTTTTTTTTTTTAAATGTGGTACTGGGGATGGAACTCAGGACCTCACGCTTGTGAGACAGGCGGTGGTGCGACTGAGCTAAATCCCCAGCCTAAAAGCTCATTTTTGACAGAACTATTCCAATAAATCATTTTCTGGTGAACCCCAGTCATGATTAGTCTCTAAATTTTATTAGTTGGTTGTTACCATCGCACTAATAGACAATCTCCATTCTCCACAGAATAAAACTGTAATGACTGTAGATCATTTTCTAGTCCAATTTCTCTGCCAGGCATCTAAAATTAGAACAAAGATACAGGCAGGTGATTGAGATAGGTCTGATGAAGCATGTGACACACACTGCCCCATAGCAGGTCACTCTTCATGGTGAACAAATGTACGCTGTGCGGTTAGAATCAGGCAGCGTTAGATGGAGACACTTCGCTAGTATGTCCTACTGTGGGAGACTCAGCCTGACTTTACATTTTGGGGGCCACTTACTTTGGGACTTTCATAGGACAACTGAAGTTCTGACACAGGAACTTTGAGGAGGCGCGACAGCAGTCCCTTCACCTTTTGAACTGTCATGGAGTCTGTCAAAGAAAAGCAAAACCCATCAGCTTTCACATGACAGCTACCTGTGAAACTGGCTCACACAGTGAGGTCAGTGCTCCGTCCTTGTTAGCAGTTTACCCAAGAAAACTAGCAGGGAAAGGTCTGACTTTTTCTACCACTTCGAGTCATTTGGGACACTGGACGTGGAGCTAATGTGTGACCCAAGTGCCCTTGACAATGTGTTTCCACCATTTCAGTAGTGTTTAATATTTCTTATCTGAATAAACCCAAAATAATGTCAGCAGAGGGATAGGTGGCAGTGAGGTCCTAAGTTTTCTTTGTAAGCCTTTCTGACAACTTTGTGAATTATGGGAAAACCTTGGGGTGGGGCTCAGGTGAGCACACTCCAGGCCCCCTGGCCTTAGCTTCCCCTCTGTACAAAGAAGGTGTAGACTAAGGGTCACCCCCAGGCCTACCATTCTATGACTGTTACACTGTGTACCTTGTTACACAAAAATGGTCGCCAGGCTTGGGGATGTAAGTTCAATGAGCAAGTGCTTTGGTCTGTTCATAACACTATGAACTCCTTTCCAAAGACAGGTTGTGATAGTGGATATTTTGATTATGAAAATTAGTTTCTTTTAAGCTTTAGCTGGAGGTACAGCAATAGTGTGGTGTTTCCCACAGATATGGTGTAGTCAAACAAATATTTTTCTATCAAAAATCCTTTTTGTAAAAGCTGTGTTTTTATGCAACTTGCGATAATAAATGTTATCTTTATTTTAGAATAAAAACTGGACTTTTCTTTTTTATATATTGGATACGGATACTTAGTATTTATAATTTGTTACAATTTGTTCTTTTATGTCTGATCTAATCCTTTCAAAACAGGTGGAGTCACTTTCATTGTTTGATGGGTTAGTGAGGAGTTAGTTACTGCACCCAAGTGGGAAAATAATGCCTTCTTAATCCATGCCAGAATTATAAAATCTACCAATGTGCAATGAGTCTGTAGAATAAAGTAGCAGTTAAATTCTTAATATGGTGACATGACTGTCTTCATATTAAGAAAATATGGAAATGTCTTTTTAACTCCCTCTGAACAGTGTTATAAATTGGGTATAGAATTCTTAGCTTTTTCCCATGCTCATATGCAAATGTGGAGGCTTTATAATACTTCTGTTTATTTAGTAGTAAATATTTTCACGCTAGTTCTTCTAGACAACCACTGTCCAGTTTGGCAGCCACCTGTGGCTGTTGAACACATGGAATGTGACTGCTGTGACTAAGAATTTGAACTTTTAATTTCATGAACTGAAACTGACATAGCCACATGGCCACATGTGACCAGTGCCCAGCCTTCTTAATGATGCAGGCTGGTGTGCTGGATAGTTGTGCCCAAGTTAGTCACCTGTCCCTACTCGTGAACATTTAGACTGCTTTAAGTAGTTCAAGATCGAAGGGCCAGTCAGAACATATGACTTTATAAAAAGAGTATACTGATTTTCAAATCCCAATCAGTAAGCTGAAGGGTAAAAAATTGGTGTCTCTGTATTTTTCTTTTTAAAAGAAATTTATCTTTGTTAGTGTTTGATTTACATGAGGCATAAAAACTAATGCTTATAGTTTATAGGAAGCAGGAGCCAGATTCCGAACAGCTTAAAGCAGTAATTATCACATCATTTCTATCAATGATTCTGATCTCTGTTGGCTCCACCCCAAGATTTATAAAAAGATCACGTGAATATGATAGGTATCCACTAACTAGAAATTGACTCTCCAAACGCCTAGGGCTACACTTGCACTGTGCCTGGACAGTCTTTGAGCTCACTGCTTACCCAGAAAGTCTAAAAAGGAAAGCTTAAGCCAGGACTTCCTTAGTGATGACATTTCCACACACTGATCTGATATATCTGGAAAAGCAAAATGGAAAGATATCCAAAGCCTGTAACACTGAAAAGTTCTGGCCCTCTTTCAGTAGTCTGTTCTCACAACCCCCTTTACTGACAATATTTACATTTGAAAACAGAGTACTACTAAATGAACAATTTTGAATCAGAAAGGTATTTCTTTGAGCACAGCCCAGGCCTTCCATAAGCAATACCACACTAAGCTTATTTTATCTGATGGTCACTAATTTAAAAATCAATGTGAATTGGGCTGGGGATTTAGTTCAGTGATTCTGCCACCTGCCTCGCAAGTGCAAGGGCCCAAGTTTGATCCCCGGTACCAAAATAAATAAATGTGAATTTATTGTTCCTGAGGGCAATCAGAGAAAATATATTTTGCTGGAGTAATTTAGACAGATACCTGTTTGATTACTTCAAGCCCTCACTGCTCTGAATTTAACTTGGTTATATTCCAAGCTCCGTATCAAGTTAATCTTGAGAAATCGCAGTATCTTGGCATACTATAAAACAGTGTAATTTTTCTTTTGAGTGAAAGTGTAAAGTCATGTTGGTCTAATTTATTGCCATAAACGTAATTTTCAGAATAAAACTAATTCAGTTCCAGTAACACGTTTTTAAAAAGTTCTAAAGTAATTTTCTCAAAAAAAACTATTTCAGTGCCTCTGTTAAAAGAGCATCTAAGAATGTTTTCATTGGGTCCCAGCAGGTGAACAGGATAGGAAGAGAATGTAGGAAGAACCCCTAATTGCCCAGCAGCTCATCAATAGGACATGGCTCCCCTTTTATGAAGGGAGGTAAGAAACGCCAAACTGGGAGCAATAGAAAAGCTCCCAGAGCAACCATGTGAGAACGAGATGTGGTGGGATGAATTCCTCGGGGGAGGCAATCAAGCCTGAGACCTTTAGTTTAAGATCACACTGGGCTGCCGGGTGTGGTACACCCAGGAGGCTGAGGCAAGAGGGCCGCTGTGGGTTCAAGACCAGCCTGGGCTACATAGTAATTTCCAGGTCAGTCTCAGCTACTTAGTGAGACCCTGTCTCAAAA